ATAATATATATATATATATATATATATATAAATAAATGTGTGTCAGTCTTCACCTCTTTCATGAAACTCTTGCCCAGTCGCACGATCTTGGCAAACAGGATGGGGTCGTGGGACAGGTGAGGGCCCAAGTAGCACAGCATGGTGAAGACGTCCCTGGAGAGATCGTCAAAGCTTTCGGCCGGCCGCGGTGCCTGTTTGTTCCACAGAGGCATCATCAATCTGCCTTTGGCACCTTTGGGGACTGCAGCCCTAAAAATACAGGACGTTCAGAGAGTTCAACACGCAGCTCTGCTGTCTGAATTTCACTTGTGCTTTCTGTCCCAGCGCTGGATCTAGAGCAGTGTTTCCCAACCTTTTTTTAGTCGCGGCACCCTTTGGAAATTTTAACAAACTTGTGGCACCCTACAAAATAAATTGTCACAATATTTGAATTTCTAACTTCGATGTGATAATTTGAAAAGTATAGATATTCGGTACAGCACGGAAGAACTGCAGAATATAATGTCACAGATATTTTTAATATTATTAATATGTCCATCAATGGTGGCAATCAGGCTAATTTCTAATGAAGAGACCAATTTATATGACAGGTTTTAATGTAGGCTTTTATACATATGTAAACATTATTTAATTACCATTATAACTAGCTATCTCACAAATTTTTGCTCACTCAGTGTTTTTTAAATTTTACAGTGGGGTAATTTTTAGCACGAGATAGCTTGATTTCAAACTTTGAATTGAATAAAAAATGACAAGTAAGCAGTCAGTAATAAAATAAGAACAAATAAAGAAATTAATAATGATAGCACAAATAAAAAATAACGACAGGCCTTCGAATTAAATAAATTGCTTTTTAGTTTTTCAGGTAGGAAATAGGGTTAAGATTTATTTATTTATTTTTTTTTATTTATTTATTTTTTTTTTTACCAATTATCCAAATAATGTTTAGTCCTAGAAAGCTATTATTATCAGAGGACACATGAGCATAACATAACGGTTAGCAGATCAATGAATGAGAGGGCAGTGTTACCAGAGTTGCTCATATACCACACCATGTTACAACACAGTAGGGCTATTGCAGACAGAATCAATACTGTATGACATCAATGTTTCCTGTCGGCTCAATTTTTGAGGACTTTGCGGTTCCGATGAGCATGAACGGTATACGAGTGGAGCGACTGAGCGGAGCACTCACACGCATAGAGGGGGATACGCAGAGCGTCACACCACGTGAAAGTGAAACCCGAGTGGTGAACTAATTTTCGGCAGCCGAAATTTCGGTGCATCTCTAATTATTGGCGACATCAGAAACGGATATTATACAATAGATGCTTTTTTGAACATATTAGCAATTTAAAAATATTAAGGTTTACACGGCACCCCTGCTTCTCGACAGACGGCACCCCAGTTGAGAAACACTGATCTAGAGTACAGCTCAAAGCACGTCTCAGGCGCGCTGTGTCCTGATAGCCTTAGGTGTGCGTGCGTGCGAGCGAGTGAGAGTGTGCGTGTGTGAGAGAGAGAGAGTGTGTGTGTATGTGCGTGTGTGAGAGTGAGTGTGTGTGTGTGAG